CACACACACACACACACACACTCTCACACACACACACACACACACACACACACACAAATATACACACACTCTTTCTCTCTCTCAATCTCTTTACCGTCGCAGTTGAATGAAAGTCAGAAGCAAAATTCAAGGTTTCTATAGCAATTCTATAGACATGCATGCTTGTCATGTCACTTGTAGTTTTCTCTTTACAATACCATTCACGACCTCTCCCACAGGTAGTTTTCTCTTTCCCATAATATTCATGATCTCTCCGACAGGTAGTTTTCTCTTTCCCATAATATTCACGACCTCTCCCCCAGGTAGTTTTCTTTTTCCCATAATATTCACAACCTAGTTTCTCGTCCCCACCCACCCCCACCACACTTTCAGGGCACCTCCGTCATCGGGCCACCCGGTATTCCTGGAGAGCCAGGCTTCCCCGGCAGCAATGGTGAGGTGGGATCGCGCGGACCCCAGGGCTTGCAAGGACCCCCCGGACCCCCCGGACCTCCAGGACCAGCCTCTGGAGCTGGCACCGGTGTCTGGATTGACGGCAGTTCTGGAGACGGAGAACTTGAACCCGGACCCCCTGGACCTCCTGGACCCCTGGGACCTGTCGGACCCGAGGGACCTCCTGGTGCCGCCGGACCCAAGGGAGAGCCCGGATTTCCCGGACTTGATGGTAAATAGACAATTTAAACGTAATATATTGTGTGGGGAAAGGGGAGGGGGAGCGGGAGAGGAGTGCCTTTTTTTCCTTTTTCTTTTTTTCTTTCCTTTTAAAGATGTATTTTTTTTAGTCTGCCAATTTATTGGTATCCGAACACAAGTTACGAAACTTACTGCTGCTGCTGCTGCTGTTTTTGTTGTTGTTGTTGTTTATTTGTTTACTTGTTGGGGATTTTTTGCGTTTTGTTTTGTTGGCTCATGAAAAGAATTGTAACTTCGTCTTTCATACAGATATTTTCTTCTGTTTTGTTTTTTTAATTATCTGAAACTCAAACTAAACAGGCAACAGTAATATACATACCATGTTTCTGCTGATATGTGTATGATTGTTCCAACTGTGCAGCTGCTGCTGATGGGACATTTTGCGTGCTGAAAAAGTTAACTTGACCCTTTGCTTTTCAGGTGAGCCTGGTATTGACGGAACTCCTGGCCAGCCAGGTATCCAGGGTGTGCCAGGTCTGCCTGGCAAGTTTGAGGGCAACATGGAGGACCTGATCGGACCGCAGGGACCCCCAGGACGTGCCGGAATCCCGGGGCCTGTTGGACCAGAGGGACTGCCGGTGAGAGAGAGGGGAAATTAGAATCTTGCCAGCTCCGTGTGTGTGTGTGTGTGTGTGTGTGTGTGTGTGTGTGTGTGTGTGTGTGTGTGTGTGTGTGTGCACGTGTGTGTGTATGTGTGTATGTGTTGTTGTTGTTTGTCTTTTTGGGGGGGGGGATGGGTATGTTATAAGGTTGTTGAGACAGCATTAGATATGGTGTTTGATGGAAAGATGGTGTGACAGCTTTGAAGAAAGCGTGTAACAGTTGGTATCCTGAATGACGAGATTGGTGGTGGTTGTTGTTGATGGTGCTATTGTTGCTGTTATTGTTCTAGTTCTTGTTGTTGAGGCTGCTGTTATAAATCCAGGAATGGGTTGATTGTGGGTGGGTTGGGGGGTGGGAGGAAGTGGGAGTCTTAGCCTAGATCACTACCTGTCCATGCCATCTTATGACTACATCATGTAACTAACTTGTTCCCATCTAGTCATGTTACGTCAGTGCAACTACAGATGTCATCTCACCTGGCTATTGCTTTCACCTATACCATCCAATAACATATATTATGTTCTTTTCACCCTACTCTGTTTTAATGCTAAAAAATGAGCCCATGTTGAATTAGTTCATCATAAACCATCGCTTAACAACTTAACCAAGTTTGCTAACATTGTTGTTCGATAAGATAAGATAAAGTAAGGTAAAGTAAGATCAAATCAGATAAGATAAGATAAGACAAACCTTATCTATCCACGATGGAAATGCTGGATGGACACCCCAGACCATCAACATACAAAGATTCAGCCTCAACAGAGATGCCACTGATGTGGAATGCATAAACAGTGATAATATTGGTCTGAGACTTTCTTTCTGAGAACTGAAATTCTTGGAATTGTTGAGCAGAGATGTAGATATAATATGAAACATATGATTAATCTTTTGTTAATATGAATGAATGCCTCAGGATATAAGTGAGTACTGATCGTAATATATTATACTATGTTGTTGTGCTTATTAGCATTTGTCTAGATTCATCAGTTTATTGTTTTAATTTCTCCCCTATCTCCCGTTTTTTATAGAGTTTATACTCTCATTATTGATATACTTGGTTGTTTTTTTTGTGTGTGTTGTTGTTGTTTTTCATTAGATGGGTGGTTGTATCTAGTTAAACCAGGGGTGTCTTTTTCTAATGGCAGATATATGACACGAAGGTGTTCTAAATAAACTAGAAAGAGAGGGCGTGAGGAAGAGACAGAGAGAAAGAGAGAGATTTTGTGTGTATGTGTGTGTGTGTGTGTGTGTGTGTGCGTGTGTGTGTGTGTGTGTGTGTGTGTGTGTGTGTGTGTGTGTGTGTGAATGTAGTACAGAGTGGGGGTTTTTTAAACTTGAGTTTTCAGGGCTATGTTGAAAATTTATGAACTGAACTTATTCTCTGCTTAGTTAATTAACAGTAGTCAGTTTTCGTAGAGCTGAAAATGAAGCTCTTTCACTACAAATAAATATAGTGGTTGCTTCATGTTCGTACTAAAATAGCAATGAATCTGTCATACAACTTCCTACTGTAACAAGCCATTGAAGTATATATAAGTACTGTGCCAAGGTATGTTACTCACAGTGTCAAACCCGCTCAATATCTATTGTAATATCAGGGAAACTACCCCTTGATACCAAGCCGAAGTTTTTTCTTGTTTGTTTTTGTTTTTGTTTTTATTTTAGACTCCCTTAACATGTGTCTTTATTTGCTTTCCCAAGTTCTCATTCGTGCTTTAAAGAAGGCTTCGTGTTTTTGTACACTGTGGAGAATTTTTTTTCTTCTATAATTTATATATCTGTTGTTGTTGTTGTTTTGTTTTTTTTTTGTTTTTTTTGTGGCTATTCAATTCCTTGACTGAAAGAGGGTTTGTGTTTTTTAAAACATTGGAACTACGAACTCTTTCTTCTAGCTTTCAGTGTTTTAGAAGTCTGAGCTTATATGTTGACTTAACATGAAATGTTTGTTCCCTTCAATTATTATCCTTCTACCCTCACTTTGCAATTATCTTAAATTTGTTTCCCTCATTGCAATGTGAACCCAAAAATACTTTGAGTGTGTTCTGATATAATAATCCCCACCCCCTCTTTTTCTGCTTTCATTCTGAGTTTCGTTGTTAGACGTTAATGTTTTGTCTCTGCGTGTGACATTACCATCGGTCTGTCAGAGATGATATTTTTCTCACCTATGAGCAAAGACGTCGTCTTATTTTATGCCATTTTTGCCTTCATTCAGCTTTAAGTGGTCTTTTGTTTCTCAGTGTACTTCCTTTCCAATACATATATCAAGTTTTGAATGCCACTTGTAATAAGAGATGTTGATGAGTCATGTACTCATTGTGTAAGGTTGTCACATTTTTTCCAGCGAATTGTCTGCCGTACAGAGGTTCAATAAAACTTAAAGCTGTTGGCTTCAGCATTTATCAGTTTCTGCATTCCATTCGCTGTCTCTTCCTCCTCCTCCCCCCTCCTCCTCCTCCTCCTTCTCTTTCTCATCATCTTCCTTCTCCCTTTTAAAAAATCTTATTCTCTTCCTCTTCATCTTCCTTTTCAGTCGTTGTCACCTTGTCAGATAAACTTTCTTTATGAAGATATGATATTATATGAATCAAACTGTCCGCTTTTTGTCAAGGTCCCTCCCTATGCTCTTTTTCTGAATAACAAAGGATTCAAAGGAAGTGACTCTGTGTCTGTCATGTTTCATTAGTCTATGACATGTCCCATCTGATGTGTCTTTCATGTGTCATTAGTCTTTTCCATGTTCCATCTGATGTGTCTTTCATGTGTCATATGTCATTAGTCTATGCCATGTTCCATCTGATGTGTCTCTTCTTGTGTCATTAGTCTATGCCATGTCCCTTCTGGAGTGTCTCTCATGTGTCATATTTCATTAGTCTAACATTCTCCTTTTAAAGTGTCTCTCATGTGTCAGTGGGTGGTTGGCGGGTGATCTGGTGTGGTTTGCTTCTTCTTTCCTATCAAACAGCTATCGTCTTAATCTCCCCTCTTTTTTGTGTTTGTTTCTCTCTTGTAATACTTCTAATATTCGCCACTTATATGACTTTATTGCGTTGCAAGTGCAGTAAAACTCTTACTAAAACTAACTCTCACGTTTCATAAGTCTATTACATGTCCCTTTTTATGTGTCTGTCTCTCATGTGTCATTTGTCATTCGTCTAACATACCCCGTTTAATGTGTCTCTCGTGTGTCATGAGTCTAACATGTCCTATACTTGCTGTGTCCACGCAGGGTGTGACTGGACAACAGGGAGAGAGAGGGCCAGAAGGACCACTTGGACCCAAGGGAGACCCAGTAAGTGTGTCTTGTGTGTGAGTGTGTGTGTGTGTGTGAGAGAGAGAGAGAGAGAAAGAGAGAGAGAGAGAGAGAGAGAGAGAGAGTGAGTGAGTGAGAGAGAGAGAGAGTGAGTGAGAGAGGGCCAGAAGGACCACTTGGACCCAAGGGAGACCCAGTATCTGTGTCTTGTGTGTGAGTGTGTGTGTGTGTGTGTGTGTGTGTGTGTGTGTGTGTGTGTGTGA